TCGTTGTGAAATCGAAACTACTTTGTTTGGTCTTCCAAAAGAGGACGATATCTGCTTCGTCATGCCTGGAGCTGATCCGTGCTGGTTGCTGAGGAAATACTACAACTTTGTGCTGTGGATCGCCGGATCGGCTTTCACCGTGGACGAAGCAGAGTCCAGCCCGGGGTCGTCACATGTCCTTCCGGACGCTCCTTTGTCAAAATCGCCAGCCGCGCCGTTCTCAAGCCCAACTGCCTCTGCTTACTCTAACCCTCCGGCCGTTCCTCACGCTAGCCCCCGGCCTCTGCTCACTGTAGGCCGCCGTCTTTGACGTAGTTTCGTTGTGAAAGCGAAACTACTTTGTTTGGCCTTCCAAAAGAGGAAGATATCCGCTTCGTCATGCCTGGAGCTGATCCATGCTGGTCGCTGAGGAAATACATCAACTTCACATTGTGGATCGCCGGATCGGCTTTCACTGTGGACAAGCGGAGTCCAGCCCGGGGTCGCCACATGTGGTTGCCGCAAGCCTGCCCGCCGCCGCTCACTCAAGCCGGCCTCCGCTCACTCTAGGGCGCCGGCCGCTGCTCACTCTAGGCCTCCAGCCTCCGCTCACTCTAGATCGCTGTGTGTGACGCTGTGTTTCGTTGTGAAAGCGAAACTACTTTGTTTGGCCTTCCAAAAGAGGAAGATATCCGCTTCGTCATGCCTGGAGCTGATCCATGCTGGTCGCTGAGGAAATACATCAACTTCACATTGTGGATCGCCGGATCGGCTTTCACTGTGGACAAGCGGAGTCCAGCCCGGGGTCGCCACATGTGGTTGCCGCAAGCCTGCCCGCCGCCGCTCACTCAAGCCGGCCTCCGCTCACTCTAGGGCGCCGGCCGCTGCTCACTCTAGGCCTCCGGCCTCCGCTCACTCTAGATCGCTGTGTGTGACGCTGTGTTTCGTTGTGAAAGCGAAACTACTTTGTTTGGCCTTTCAAAAGAGGGCACGACTAGAAATCAGTAGTTGTTGTATTTACAACACTGTTCCAGAACAGTTCAACCCAAATATTCCGATGTGTCCAGCGCATTTTATGGAGGACTGTTTCCTGATCCTGGTAGAGTAGACCACAATGCCGGCTGTTCTGACTCATAGACTGCAAGTACGTTTTTATAGTTAAAGAATTTGCCACTGATGATTCAAATGCGAGTTTTGAGCAGTGTAGAGTAGCGTTTGTAATTTCTCCGATCACAAATGCAGACATGGTTTTATGTTTATGCGGCGCGATTCAATGCAGCGCGTAAAAAGACAGTATAAGTCATTATAATCCGTAATTATGTCCCCACTGGATGCAACAAATGCCTCGTTTATAATGGCTTTTAATGTTTTTGTCTCGTCGTGCCGGGACAAGGCATCACAGTATGGTAAGGGGCATAACATTTCCGTCACAAGCTTGAGGTATTCGGCCAATCACGATGCACTGGATAGCTGGCCAATCAGAGCACACCATGCTTTTCAGACCAATGAGCTTTGTAAAAATCGACGCGTTTCAGAAAGGTGGGGGCATAGAGGAGAAACAATAATGTACAGTATGTAGAAAATTTGTTTTTTTTAACCTTAAACCGCATAAACACATTTCATTTCACCAAATACACAAAATAATGTTCTTTTTAGCAACATCATATGACCCCTTTAAATGTAGTTCTGATAATGTACATGACAATGTTAATGTATTTGATCTTGGTGGAATAGATCTGCTACGCTGCTGCTGCGAAAGAGCAAGTACCGAGACTTGCTACTGCCAATACATCCACAAAATGCTGCTGTGAGCATGTAAGAAATATTGCTGCTGCAAATATAACATACATGAAATAACCCCCCATATAGTGTACATAAATCACCTCGTAGCAGATCTATACAGGTGGAGCTGGGGAAGGTGGAGGGTTTCTGAAGCAAGCCGCAACTGCTACGGCAAGCACTAGTCATATATTTGAATGTTGAGCAGCGAGCTCATTGGCTACCGATACAGGAGAGAACCAATCAGCTGTACCATGTGATAATGATGTCATTAGGTCAGATTGAGTTAGACCATGCACCATCTAGAGTTTCATGCCAGAACTCTGTATTTGCATATGCAAGTGATTTTCTTGAAATGTGCAGGGTTGTTTAAAACACAAATACACATCGAGTTTTTTTTATAAGCGTGTTTATTATCATTGATTTACTATTGTAGTTTTTTGTTTTCTGTCACTTTCATTTTAGTTATAATAATTTTGATGGTTTTTCACTTGTTTTTTTTAAATGTCTAAATAGTTTTTATTTATTAGATTTAGTTATTTTTATTTTAATAAGCGTGTTTATTATCATTGATTTACTATTGTAGTTTTTTGTTTTCTGTCACTTTCATTTTAGTTATAATAATTTTGATGGTTTTTCACTTTTTTAAATGTCTAAATAGTTTTTATTTATTAGATTTAGTTATTTTTATTTTATTTAAAAAAATATTGCCTTGGCAGCTAGCTAGAATATAACAAGTTAACTTTGTAGTAATTTTACTAATTTAATTTCAGTTATTATTTAGTTTCAAGTAACAAATATGCTTTAAGTTTTAGTTATTGAGAATAACCCTGGTTTGAAATCAGCTGCCTGTCTGTCAGTTGGCAAAATTGGGTCTGGAGGACTGTTATCGATTATGTAACATTTTTACAGTTTCTTTATTGACTTGGAACCAGAGTACCAATACTTTTAACCTCACTATTCACAAATACTTGTTCCTAAATGGTAACAGGAGCTGTCTTCCTTTCCCCTGCAGGCTTCTCCCACTCAGCGTTCACCTTTGGCATAGAGAGCCACATCAGCCAGTCCAACATCAACGGAGCTCTAGTGCCCCCTGCTGCCCTAATCTCCATCATCCAGAAAGGCCTGCAGTATGTGGAGGCTGAAGTCAGCATCAATGAGGTCAGCATTGGTACCACTACCAGATATGGATATTTCACAATTTGCCCATTACTGAAGCAAGATGCGCTGAATCTGAAAAAATTTACTCAACCTTCTTGTACCTGTTGTTTAACATGTCACAGGACGGTACTCTGTTTGATGGCCGACCGATCGAGTCGCTGTCGTTGATTGATGCAGTGATGCCAGACGTGGTGCAAACGAGGCAGCAGGTGTATAAAGATAAGCTGGCTCAGCAGCAAGCTGCCGCCACCTCCAGCACCACAGTGGCCGCCACTGCAAAGAACGGAGAAAACACGGCTAATGGAGAGGAGAACGGATCTCACACGCTGTCTAGTAAGCTCACTCCCTACATTATTTGTCAAAACTGTTGGAATTGTCAATAAGGAATACTATTTAGTCCATAACATGGTTGAACCTGTGACCAAAAACCACAAAAAAAATTGTCAGCATTTACCTACCCTTGTGAGGGCTTTTCACAATATTAATTATTAATGATTAGCCATTACCCCCTGGTCATTCTCAACTCTGGGTTATTGTTTTCAGTCTTTACCCTGGGTTAGGAAATAATCCTGGATTGTCAGGTTGCGAGTTTTCACACAGTACATTTGTAAACCCCAGATGAATGTTCTTTGCATATTTGTGGCATCGATAAAATGTATTGGACAAATACAGCATGTGACCTGTTTAAATAACATCTTGTCTCTGGTTTTTGCTGATATACCATCAGTTTGTCCTGACTCCTGAATAGACATTTCCGACCATAACCAGTGTTTTTTTTTAGAGATTATACTATTATAGTATTTATTTATATTTTGGATTAGCTTGAATTTGCTAGATTTTGAGTTTTTATTTTAGTTGTTGCTATTTTCTTTTTCTTTTTTTATTCTGTTTAGCTTTTTTTTTTTTTTATAACCTAACTCAAGCTTATTTTAGTTTAGTTCTAATTTTTAAGTTTAAAAAGATGCATTTTTAAAGGGGTCATATGATGCTGCTATAAAGAACATTATTTTGTGTATTTGGTGTAATGAAATGTGTTTATGCGGTTTAAGGTTCAAAAAACACATTATTTTCCACATACTGTACATTATTGTTTCTCCTCTATGCCCCGCCTTTCTGAAACGCGTCGATTTTTACAAAGCTCATCGGTCTGAAAAAGCGAGGTGTGCTGTGATTGGCCAGATATCCAGTGCGTTGTGATTGGCTGAATACCTCAAGCGTGAGACGGAAATATTACACCCCTCACCATATTGTGATGATGCCCTGTCAGGCCGGAGCGATGATTCAAAAACATGAAATCCCATTATAAACGAGGCATCCGTTGCATCCAGTGGGGACATAATTATGGATTATAATTACTTTCTTTTTACACATTGCATCATGCCGCGTAAACATAAAATCATGTCTGCATTTGTTATCGGAGAAATGACAAACAACAAGCCCTACTCCACACTTCATGGCTGTTCAGTTACATATATGAATAAAGCACATTGGTTGTATTTAGGATGAAGGATGTTTGGGGGTGGGAATCTTTAAACACCTCACAATCACATTCCAATTCTGATCCGTTTCTAAAACAATTCTTAACTTACTTTTTATTATTATTCATTAAGAGAACAGACTTGAAATATCAAATTTATTTGTGCAGTTTTATTAAGTTACTTTTAGAATTCAAATTGCTTCTTAAAATAATTACAAATTAATATTAAATCAAAACATGTTGAGAATTATTAACTAAACTAAATAAAGATTCAAAACATCCAAGCAAGTATAAATAAAGGGGAACAAAGAAACACATTACAAGCAATGAACAAAATGTGTTTTCAGTGTCTGAGAGTGTTTTAAGTATCTAAATTTTTCCAGACAAGCACAGTTTTTTTTTTCTCAGCATTATTGCTGTCTGACTATTACTGCTAACGTCATAGACAGCTGCAATACTAATAGGCTGTAGTCACACTAATGCACAAATCTATTTTAACATATCAATGTTGTATCCTGTCCTAACTGACAAGACATGACTGACTGTGTTTACATTAAAATCACAATCACATAACTGCTTACATGAAGTCACACACAACCTTATGCTGCAAACTCACTTCAGAACAAAGACACAAAGTGCAATTGAGCATTTGAAAGCAGATGTCTGTCAGTAAGTAAGCTTAGTGTATCAAATTGTAACTGCATTCCAAGCAGCATAAAAGGTGCCTTCGTAGAGCATTTGGAAAGAAAAACACTGAAACCTCGCACGCTCAAGCAAAGTTTCTCACAATGTATATACTGTGCAATAAAGTCTGAGTTTCGGCCATGAAAATAAGTTTATTTACTTGACGGTTTTGTGTGTTTTGGGGCATAATTGGCAGCAAACAGAGTACAGCTGTCTCTAGTGTACACGCGTGTCATCTCACATACACAGAAAAAAACTATCTCAGAAACCTAGAAGAGAGAATTGTGATCCATTGTAGAATCTACTGTTGTTGTCCCTCCCCTGATAATGCCTCTTCTTTTGACAGATCACCACTCGGACATGATGGAGGTGGACAGGGCAGTAGAGATCCCAGCCAGTAAAGCCATAGTGCTGCGGGGCCACGAGTCTGAGGTCTTCATCTGTGCTTGGAACCCTGTCAGTGAGCTGCTGGCGTCTGGGTCGGTATTAAGCCAAAGCCACAGTTTATTTTCTCAAACTGTGAATTTTAATACAAAGTTCTGTCATGAAATTCTAGATGGTTGCAGGATTATAGTTTCTATCTCAATCCGAAATAATGACACCATTTTTCTCATGGCGTATCTGACTGATTTCTTTTGCATCAGCAGCCAATGAGCTTGCTGCACAACATTCAAATACTTGGCTAGAGCTTGCAGTAGAAGTTGTAGTGCGCTTCAGAAACAGAAAAAGACTGTATAAGTCATTATAATCCGTAATTATGTCCCCACTGGATGCAACAAATGCCTTGTTTATTGTGGGTTTTAATGTTTTTGTCTCATCGCTCCGGCCGGGACAAGGCATCAGAGTATGTTAAGAGCCGTAACATTTCCGTCACACGCTTGAGGTATTCGGCCAATCACGACGCACTGGATAGCTGGCCAATCAGAGCACACCTCGCTTTTCAGACCGATGAGCTTTGTAAAAATCTACGTGATTCAGAAAGGCGGGGCATAGAGGAGAAACAATAATGTACAGTATGTGGAAAATGTGTTTTTTGAACCTTAAACCGCATAAACACATTTCAATACACCAAATACACAAAATAATGTTCTTTTTAGCAACATCATATGACCCCTTTAAAAACATAAATGCACAGCCATTTACGCTCTGCATCGAAAACATATATATGAACCTATACTATGTTGCACCTCTTACAACTTATTCTGTGGCGTTTATATAAGCCTTTTGACGGGTGTCAGAGCTGTAAAAACGGTTATGCTCACCAAGTGAATGAATCGCGTTTGTGCCGGACTCTTAATACAACTTATTCTGTGGCGTTTATATAAGCCTTTTGACGGGTGTCAGAGCTGTAAAAATGGTTATGCTCACCAAGTGAATGAATCGCGTTTGTGCCGGACTCTTATTACAAAGCAAAAACAAACACTCTTCTTCGATCCATGAACCTTTCTCTCAGTTAATGTGCGCGACGTCATCTCACAGTCTGAAACATCTGTCATAGCAAATCAACACATGCTGTTGTGAATAATTAAGCGAAGCGTCTTCTCATAGGATAAGAATATGCAGTCTCATGAATAATTTAATAGACACCGGCGTGTCATCGATGTACTATAGTCCATTGCCACGTCACGAATTGTGACGTCAACACGATGTAGATTTTAAACCTGGAAGATGAAAATAGCGCAAAAAAGCTTCAAATTAACCACTTTTCTCCAACAGTTAAAATTATCAGATGCTAACATTGGCTTCTATGATGTGCAACACAAACACCTCTGCTAAAATCTCAGAAAAAGTAGTCTGGGGTTTCATGACCCTTTAATGACCTGTACTTTTTGGATGGGAATTCATCGCTGTGTTTTGTTGTTGCCATCAGCTCTGGAGACTCAACCGCACGGATCTGGAACCTGAGTGAGAACAACGCAGGAGGATCCACTCAGCTGGTGCTGCGGCACTGCATTCGGGAGGGGGGGCAGGATGTACCCAGTAACAAAGACGTCACCTCACTGGACTGGAATGTGAGTGCTGGGAGTAGCGCTTATGAACTGCAGTAACCCTGCATGCAACTTTTGCATCTGAGCCTCTTTCTTTATTCCACACACTTCATACAAAGAACAAATTACTCAAATTCATATTTTTGTGTTGGACAGAGTGAAGGTACACTTCTCGCCACAGGATCCTATGATGGCTTTGCCAGGATATGGACTAAAGATGGTGAGCTTTGTTAACTTACAAATCATTACATCATCAATTACAAAATCCTGTTTATCTAACAAGTGTCCCTTAACTGTCAGGTAATCTTGCCAGTACACTGGGGCAGCACAAAGGTCCCATATTTGCTTTAAAGTGGAACAAGAAAGGAAATTTTATCCTCAGCGCTGGTGTTGATAAGGTACAGTATAATCTTATGTGATTATCATATACTGTCAAAATGAGATGATGTGGTGAGGTTGAGATGCTAATGTGAATCTGCACCTTTCAGACCACCATTATTTGGGATGCACACACGGGAGAGGCCAAACAGCAGTTTCCATTCCATTCAGGTGAGTAACAAAAATCACCACAAGCAGGACATTCATTTATCCAAAGCTGACCTTGACATTATTGCTAATCCAGTTGAAAACTGAGGGAGAAAACTGTTAAATTCACTAATTAATGCACATTAATGAACATGAACCATGGCAGGTTTTCTCAGCTATATTGTTTATGATGTGAACTGCAGAATCTTCGGTATAGCGATTAGCTGTGGAATTCTTTTTTAACGCCCACTGAGAGAAGGGTTCTTTATTATAGATAGAAATCTACTTTTGGTTTCAATTTTGAAAACTTTTTCCGCCTGCAGCTCCAGCTCTGGACGTGGACTGGCAGAGCAACAACACGTTTGCCTCTTGCAGCACGGACATGTGCATTCACGTGTGTAAACTGGGCCAGGACAGACCAGTCAAAACATTCCAGGGCCACACAGTAAGCCACTTACATTAGATATTCTACTATTGCATATATTCTCTTGTTAAAGCTTCATCAATATTTACATTTTTTTTTCTTTTTGCATGGACTGTTTGGTCTCTCAGAAACCCTAAAAAGTGATATTTTGACCCTGTAAAGAATTACATATGAAGTCAGAAATACACTTTTTTTTTTTTTTTTTTTTATCAAATAGTTTTTTTTTATCAAACTGTCTTTTGAACAATCAAAAAAAAAACATATGTGTGTGAGTGTACACATGCATATATATCTATCTCACATTTGAGGCATTTATTTATTTATTTCTAAACTAAAAACATTTTGGTGGTCAGAACAAAGTTTCAATGCCAACAAAGGGAAAAAAAACAAAGATTATATAAATAAATAAATGTATAAATATATTTATTATTATTAATATTTAATCTAATGTAATATAATTTACACAGACATAAAAGAGATTGTGAATAAATAAAATTATAGTGGCAAAAATGTTCTTACAGAACAGGCTGTGTATATAAAAAAACATAGATATAATTATCTATCCCTGTAAATATATCTTAATAAAATGATCCTAAAGTTTTCAATTGTTTTAATTAGTGATTGAATGTTCATTTTTATTATGGTTGAAAATGCATTACAATGATGATTGAAATACCTGCTGTATCATTTTGAATAGACATTTTCAATTTTGTTTTTAGTTTGTCTCATGTACGAAATATTTAGTAAACAAATCCAAATTTCTGCATTTGGCAGGCACTTTTATCCAAAGCGACTTGCGCTGCATGCAGACGACACATTTAAAGTTCAGGCATTATGTGGGAATCAAGCCCATGATATCAGCATTGCTAGCACTATGCTCTGCTGTTTGAGCTAGAACTCTTTTATTCATCTGTAATCTCAGTAACAATATAACATTTTTTCTTGCCATTACAAAATCAGCAGGGGTTTTTGTTGTTGTTGTTGAAAATTAGAAGTCCTTTTTCCTGAGGATCATGGATAAGCAAATATGCACCAAATATGATAGATACAACATTTTAGGGTTAAGCATACTAACTGATTACATCACTGATGATTTGCACTCCTTTATTCTCAGAATGAAGTCAATGCAATCAAATGGGATCCAACAGGAAATCTATTGGCCTCCTGCTCTGATGACATGACCCTAAAGGTGAGATACAGCCAACCAGCTATTTCTCTTTTGATGATTTAGCTTTTTACTAATGTGTTTGCATTAAAGTGCCCCTGTTATGCCATTTTTATGGTTCCTAAAATTTAATTTAATTAAAGTCTCCTACAATAGGATTACATGCATGCAAGGTCAAAAAAATCTTTTGTTTTCTAAAAATATGCATTTAATATCACCTAATTTTCCAGCGATTCTCAAACGATTTGTTCAAAGATTCAGTCTCTCTAAGCCCCTCCTTTCCGTGAGCCTGCTCTGCTCTGATTGGTCAGATGGCCTAGCCTGTTGTGATTGGTCTACGGCGTACAGCGTGTTTCGTAAATGATACGCCTATTTCAATAGTTCTGTATTTTGAACGCTCTATAGAAAATATAATCATCTATTATTTATCATACTTACAGGTTGTGATTCAGTGGAGCAGCTGGTCCAAATAAACAGGATACTGATCCATCTTTCAATAGCAAGCATTTTGTGAATCCCGCGTTGAACTCGCCGAGATTAGAGAAGCAGTCGTCAGTAGAATGATGTGTTTGTGGGCGGGGTCAAGTTGTTCGCGGCCGGCCAACGTAGAACATAGGCCGCGCATTATGCAAATGTGTTACCCGTGACATGTAGCCGTCACGGAAGTGGGATTCGAATTACTAACGACTCGTTTCAGCTGTCAGAGTCTATTCTTTATTTTGGGAGACAATAACTTTATTTATTGTGCACTTTCAGCTTTACAACTTTCCAGATCGTTTACATTCACATACAGCTACATTACACACTGCATGAAAGGCAATATTTGAAATGGCATAATAGGGCCACTTTGAGTGAGTGAGTGAGTGTTATAATGATATTGTGATTTGTATTGAACGTTAGCTTTGGAGCATGAAACAGGACACTTGTGTTCATGACCTGCAAGCCCACAGTAAGGAGATCTACACCATCAAATGGAGCCCAACTGGCCCTGGAACCAACAACCCCAATGCCAACCTCATGCTGGCCAGGTACACAACCAGCCACCATTCAGTTCAATTCAATTCAAGTTTATTTGTATAGTGCTTTTCACGATACAAATCGTTGCAAGGCAGCTTTACAGAAAATTAAGTTTCTACAATATATTTAGTAGTAGCTTGTCAGTGGTGACTGTCAAATTGATGTACATATGGCAGAAATGTACAGTACAATTCAGTTAATGACGTAAACAAACAGACAATGATCACTATTAACAGCAATGATTATATGTTGCAATCAAACTTGTAGCAAAATTTGGTAGTTTATGTTGTTTCAGGGTTGGCAGGTCCTCTGAGGTCCTCTGAGGGATTTGAATCATCTCTTCTCAGGTGTTCTGGATCCAGACTGAAGCTTGTGTAGTTCCTAGTTACCACGTGATGTCAATCCCGTGGCAGAAACAAATAGAGACATAATTAGCGTAGCTGCTGTTCCAACCAAGCAAAAATTATTTGTTCATAAAGGAATAATAATGTCAAATAAGTAATGCATTATTTGAACACTTGGCCAAAGAGATGTGTCTTTAATCTAGATTTAAACAGAGAGAGAGTGTCTGAACCCCGAACGTTATCAGGAAGGCTATTCCAGAGTTTGGGAGCCAAATGCGAAAAAGCTCTACCTCCAATTAGTAAATAAACTGCAAAACGTCATGTTTTCTAATACACGCGCGCATTGCATGTATTCTGATGGCGCTGCACGGACTCGCAGTAGATCTGCTTGTTAACCAGCATTCAAAGTCCAAAGCGCAAGGAAAATCTGCGTTAAAACAGTGTTACTCCTCAGTTCCTCAGTCATATTTTTACAAGGCACGTGACAATGTGATACGTACGACGTATTCGTAATGAGACTCATTTATAAATCTGCTGTTGTCAACAAAAAGAAGCATTAAGGTCTTCCTGTGCGTTTCCACCAAAATAAAAGTTGAGAAAACGCAAGAACTCTTATCAACATTCAAAAATGTTAGTATTGTAATTTTACTGTTCTGTAAAATAAAATAAAAAGTAAGACAATAATAATGCTCTGTTAATACATTTATTATAACATTCACACATAGTGTTCAAATTAGGATCTGTAATATTTTATAATGTTTTAAAAGAAGTCTCTTCTCAGCAAGGTTGCATTTATTTGTACAGTAAAAAAAAAAATACATGCCTGATTCAAGAAGGGGGTCTGATGGCCAAAAATTATTATTTTACTAACACAAGTTAAATTGTGCTTTGTTGGTATAGTGTGTGCTAGAATGTTAATGTTCAGTGTTAAATATTTTTAAATTGTTGTTTTGTAATTGATTTTTTTCTTTGAAAAGCAAGAAAAAAACTGTAAAAAGCACATTTTGGCTTTTTAATTTATGCAATGGTGAAAAAAAATTTGGCAAAATACATGGGGAGAAAAAATCGAAAAAACGTATTCAGCCTTCGGCCCAGTGTTTCATTTTGTTCGGTTTCGGCTTCGGCCAAGAATTTTCATTTCGGTGCATCCCTAAAAATATAAATATATTTAAAAAAAAAAACAATCTTACTGACCCCAAACCTTTGAAAGGTTGTGTATAAGCTGATAATTAATTCCTTTCATGAAGAAATATAATGTACAGAATGAACAAGTGTTTTTAAAAATTAACTATATATGAGAATTAGAAGACGTCAACGGAAATCTAATTGTAAAAATTGTAGAAATCATTGTGAATTATTAAACATCCATTGTTGACTGATACAAGAAAGAAAAAAAAAAGTCTAAATATGTCCAATATTTATAATATAAAATGAAAACATATCAGCCTTCGGCCCAGTGTTTCATTTTGTTCGGTTTCGGCTTCGGCCAAGAATTTTCATTTCGGTGCATCCCTAAAAATATAAATATATTTAAAAAAAAAACAATCTTACTGACCCCAAACCTTTGAAAGGTTGTGTATAAGCTGATAATTAATTCCTTTCATGAAGAAATATAATGTACAGAATGAACAAGTGTTTTTAAAAATTAACTATATATGAGAATTAGAAGACGTCAACGGAAATCTAATTGTAAAAATTGTAGAAATCATTGTGAATTATTAAACATCCATTGTTGACTGATACAAGAAAGAAAAAAAAAAAGTCTAATACTGTCCAATATTAATAATATAAAATGATAACATATAATCAGGGTTTCCGCGGGTCCTAAAAAAGTCTTAAATTTAGTTGTATCAAATTTAAGGCCTTAAAAAGTCTTAAATTGTACAAGAAAGTTTTAATTATGATTTCAAGAGGTCTTAAATTTGGGGACGGAAAGACCAGAATTGCGATATAGCTGAATGTGATGATTAAACTTCAAAAGGCTATGGTTTCATTGAATAAACACGAGTGCTGCATGTTCAAAGTCTGGTGATTTGTGTTCTGCTGTTACCGGGGAAACGGTTATATTTCTAGCAAACACTCCACCTGCTGGCAGAGAATGAGCATTTTCAATAAAACTGTTGTTTTGTTTAGAGTTCAGACCGATGCAAAAATCGACCCATGTTTTTCCCTGCAAACACGCAGAGCTTTAAATGTGAACTGGTGGATCAATAAGAAGACAATGCATTATAAAAATCTAAACAGTATAGGGGTGTGCGATATGTATGGTCTGCGATAATATTGTAATTGTTGTTTTAAGGATGTGCGACTTGATATTATCGAGAATATCGCAAAAAGCAAACAAAACACCTAATCGAACTGAATCATTTGAAACAGTTTGCGTCTCCAGTACGTACTAATCCACAAATTACTTAAGTTATTCGGTTTATAAACGTGCCTGACACTCCCTCTGACGCGAAATAAACCAATATCCCGAGTTATTCAGTTACTCCTAACAGTACATTGACTGAACTGCTGTTTTTAATATTCATTTTTAAAATGTTCTGCCTTCCAAATGGCAACATCAGTTTAGCCATGTATACCCTAATTTAGATGTTTAGGCATAAGACCAGTCTATCAAGTGTTTTGATAAATCTACTTAAGAGTATCAGACTTAAGCCCCGTTCACACCAAGGGTGATAACTATAAAGATAAAGATATAGTTCTTAAAATCGTTCTCAATATTATAGAATAGCAGAGTCCCCACACCACACCTATAACGATAAAGGCACAGAGAAACAATATCATTGGAATCACTTTCGGAACGTTTTTTTCCAGCTGATGAACGATAAAAATATTGATAGCCAATCAGAATTAATCCTGCTGTCACGAGGTTGAGAATTTAAAGCGGCAGTCGAGCGTGCGCTTCGAATAAACAGAAGGTATCGTTTGCTGGTGTGGAGGCTAATATCCTTATCTTTATCCTCCTGAGACCCCGTGACCTCATATGAGGACATTATATTGTAGTGAATTTCTCTGAGACTATAAATGCCACAGTTGTAAGTCTGGGTGTCCTGTACAGAGCACATTCAGGGCTTTTCAGAGATACTAAATGCTTGGATGTTTCACTGTGACCACTCCCTCTCCTTGGTCTTCAAATATGTCTAATATTAAGTTAGTGACACTCTTACGGAAATATGATAATATTTTGTAATTATCATTTAAATCTGTCTAATTTTTAAACTGTCTGTCATAAATCAACATCTCAGGAAAATGTTATGGGGTTTCAAATCAAAATATGACTTTCTGTTACAAAACAGGATGTTGATTTCATACATGTCCTCATATGAGGACACTGGGACTAAAAGCATGTTTATTAGCATTTTGGGAGACATAACAAATGAATCGGGAAAGAAATTGTTTCAATATTCTATGAAATATTATATATTATGAAAATCTTGTCAAATATTACTCCCATTATTACACTTCTTTTTTCATTACATGTTGCCCCAAAACACATTAATATGCAAATTAGGTTTAGTTTATAGATACATTGTATATAATGAGAAAACCTGTTTATGGCCATTTTACACACATTTTGCAGTAAGAAAAATGGTATATCAAATATTCTGTTATAACATAGTTGAGAATCATCTTTATACAAAGTTTGGTAAAAAAAAAAAAACTTTGGTGTATTGGTGTATTTAAAAAATCTATTGTTTTTGTCTTTCTTTTTTTTATTTTATTTTTTTAAATTGAGTCCCGATGTCCTCTACCGAGGACATAGCATAACTTATGAATGAAAAATAATTTTTTACTTTTTTTTATGCTCTAAACTATATAAAGACATGAAAAAAACTTTTTTTTCCCTAAAAATCTTTTCTCGGGTTTTAAGAGGTTAAATTTATCGTTCTTGGTGTGAATGGGCCTTTACATTAATCATCGATACAGTTTTCATCTGCTGGCCATTAACTGGCCTGGCTGACATATTGATCTGTCACTATGATTAGTGTTTTAAACTCGAGTTTCATTTTCCTCCTTACAGAGTGGTGCTTTAGTCAACAGCTACAGAGGCACGGGGGGGATTTTTGAAGTATGCTGGAACTCCACTGGAGACAAAGTGGGCGCAAGTGCATCAGATGGATCGGTGAGTTTCTGTGTTGCAAAGCAAAGTCACTTAAATGTCCTTTGGCTATGATGTAGATACAGCATGAACTGAATCTGTTTGAAAGCCATTATAGTTTTAAGTAGGGCTGCACGATTAATTAAAATAAAACCAAAATCATGATTCAGAGCCTTCTTACACGTGAGCGGTTCATTATTCACCGGTGTTGTCAGTATAGCTTAGTTCACCGTAAATGCTGCTCCACCCAAACTACGTCTCTGCATTTTTTTTTTTTTTAATCCTGAGTTTGGTCACTTTTACATGCATTTGAGAACAACAACATGTGCTAGCCATCCTTCCATACTTGTAATGAGAAGCATAAAAGTAGGGCCCTATGAAATCTGTTTTATTTTTTCCCAAAATCTGTTTTTTCTGTTTTAATTTTTCTGGATTCCATTTTTTTTTCCATTTAAATTTTTCTGGACTCCTTTTTAATGGTTAAATAAAATTGTATTAATCCTATTTTTAATCCTATTATATTATAATTGTAATATTTAAATACTAAATTTTTATTTGACAGCAAAACATTACAATAGTGATATTTCTTTTTTTTTTAGCAATACTGCTCCTGCTAATAATAATAATAATTTATTATTTTATAGCCATAAATACATAATTTGTGGAAGATATTTCCGCCACTATATAGACCTTTTTCCTGAGTAAACGATGAACGCCACCATAACGAATTCTAACTTCCAATTGGATGCTCTTCAGTTTCGGTCTCCATAGGAACCCATTCAAATAGTGCCCATCTGTTGGGAAGTCGTGGCCTAATGGTTAGAGAGTCGGACTCGTAACCCAAAGGTTGCAGGGACTGTAGGTGGGGGGA